CCTCTCTCTCCCTCCCCCTCTCTCTCTCCCTCCCCCCCTCTCTCTGTGTGTTGTGGGGTAGGTTGCCTGTGGGGTCACCCCTTACCCCGACACTGATGGACTGCCCTGGTGTATGGTGTCTGGCCTGATACAGCCGGTGGTCTGCTGGGTCAGTTCAGAGGGCAATGCCAAACCCACTGCTGTGGCTCTGGAGTTACGTGTGTAGGCCAGACCAGATTGGGGAAGGCAGATTTCCCTCCCTGAAGGGCAGTAGTGAACCAGATGGGGTTTTTACTGAGAATTTCAAGTAAAGCTAGAAGACATGCAAATGCAGTGCCTGAAGCTAAAAGACCTGCCAAAGGGTGATGATCCTGCAGGTAGTTCCCACAGGACTCTTACCTGCTGTTACTGGAATGGGTTCCATGTCTGAGATACTGTTTGGCAGGGCTGGCCACACGCTGCACTGTTCCAGGTTGGGTTTTGACCATTCTGCTTGATCACTGTCATCCCCCAGTTTACTGCAAAACACAACAAACACACTCAGGGACAGAGTTGAGCTACACCCTGGCAGCGAGCAGCTGGGGAACAGCAGGGAGTCTCCCCATGAGGGTAGGTGAATGAGAGACTGCACTCAGTGAGGTTCATGTGGGATCTAACAATATCAATTCACCCAGAGACTGTGTCAGAAAGTGGGAGATGAAATAGGGAGAGGGAGCACACTTGCATCTACCAGCAGCAATCAGATGGTTTGGTAAAACTTTAATATCCACAAAGAAAGTTTTGGTCCAACTGATTAAGGACATTGGGGAGACTTGCCTGGAATACTGTGTGGAGATTAATTTCTATCCTTACAGACTGTGACTCTAAACTTTGAGGGAATACAGCAAAGGTTCCCTAAATTCAGCAGCACATATACTAAAGTAGGAATGATACAGAGAAAATTAGCATGGCCCCTGCGCAACGATGACTCACAAATTTATGAAGCATTCCATATATTTTTGGGGTGGCACGGTGGCTCAGTGGTTAGCACTGCTGCCTCACAGCGCCAGAGACCCGGGTTTGATTCCAGCCTTGGGCGACTGTCTGTGTGGAGTTTGCGTGTTCTCCCCGTGTCTGTGTGGGTTTCCTCCGGGTGCTCCAGTTTCCTCCCACAGTCCACAGATGTGCAGGTTAGGGTGGATTGGCCATGCTAAATTGTCTGTAGTGTTCAGGGAGGTGTAGATTAGGTGAGTTATAGGAGGATGGGTCTGGGTGGGATGCTCTGAGGTTCAGTGTGGACTTGTTGGGCCGAAGGGCCTGTTTCCACACTGTAGAGATTCTATTAGATGTGGAGCTGTAGTTCTGTGAACAGGGACTGAATAAACTGGGTTGATATTCACTGGAGTTTAAAGAGGAAGATGATCTCATTGAAACATCTGAGATTGTGAGGAGGCAGGTGAGAGTGGGCACTGAGAGGGTATCACTCCCTGACAGGAGGGTTTGAAACTTGGGCACTGTCTCAGGACATGGGGGCTGACCATTTCGGACCGAGATAAGGAGCAATGCCTTCACTCGGTCTTATGGCTATTAGGAGCTATCTCCCCTGGAGGGTGTGGCTGCTTCATTGTTGAATATATTTCAGGCTGGGACAGACAGGTGATTGGTCTTTGGGAATCGAGGGAAACAGGGAGTGGGCGGGAACGGGAAGTTGAAGATTAAGTTTAACTGTGATAGTATTGAATGGTGAGGCAGGACTGAATGGTCTCCACCTGGTGCTTTTCTCATGTTCTTAAACAAACAGGTGGAATGTTTGTTGCTAACCTCACTGACAGTCAGTTTCTCAATCAGTCATTTGCAGCTGACTGTGTTTACTGGTTGGAGCCAAACACCCTCCCATAGTCTCCGTGAGATAACCCCACACTCCTCACCATTTTCTCTCGGCCTGTTTCTGTGCTTTCCTCACACAGTTTAATTGGACAGTGTTCACTGGTGTGGTTGAAGGCCAGGTATAATCACCCTTGTCAGTGTGCATAGACTCTGTTGGACAGGAACCTGGAACTGAAGAAAGAAAGGTTATTGATACCTGAGACAACATCTCAAAGTAAACATTCATATAAAACCAGCAAGGGCTGATGGTAAAAAGATTAGTATGTGTCATCTATTGGTCTGGGGGCTTCAAAATGCAGTTACACTAATTGAGTTACACCAGGTGTGACCCCAAGAAATGGGAGCAGGGAGACAATAACCGGTCTGTCCAACCTGTACTGTCTTTCACTAAGATCACACATGATCTTCTCCTATAACCCTTTTCCCCACATTGTCCTCACAACCCTTACCCTTTAAGTGAATGAAAGTGACTCCTCAGGAGCTGGAAGCCAATGTCTCTCTCAGAATCATTGAAGGATATGGGCCGGAGAACAATCGCAGACATTGCAATAAGGAAAATCAGACCAACTTCCCACCATCTCCCAGGTGAGATCGCTCCGAGAGATGAGTGACCAACTGGCCAAATCAGTCCCAGGGACCACAGGAAGCAGCACCCCGCCCCCACCACCCCCACCAAAACACACACTCACACTCACACACACTCACACTCAATCTCACACTCACACACTCACACACACTCACACTCAATCTCACACTCACACACACA